ACAGAACACAGAGAGAGTCGTCAACAGAGTAAAGTCCGAGGCAGCTACGGTGAAAAAGCTCTGTTCCCCAAGGCACAGTACTCGCTCCATCTTGTTCCTCATCCTCATATCCGACATAGACAAGGATGTCAGCCAACAGCACCGTATCTTCCTTTGCAGATGACACCGAATCTGCATGACAGTGTCTTCCATTGGCAGACACTGCAAGTCCAGGCGGACATCAACCAAATCTTTCAGTGGCTGCAGAAACAATATGAGTTTTAACGATGAAATTTCATTTCTCAGATATGGTAAACACGAGGAAATTAAATCTTCATCAGAGTACAAAACAAATTCTGGCCACAAAATAGCGAACACCAATGTCAAAGACCTGGGAAGTGATCATGTCGGAGGATCTCATCTTCAAGGACCATAAACACTGTATCAATCACATCTGCTTGAGAAAAGACAGGATGGATAATGAGAACCTTCAAAATTAGGGTTGGCCAGAGGCCATGATGAACTCTTCAGGTCACTTGTTCTATCTAACTGGAATATTGTGCAGAACTAACAGCCACACGAAAATCACTCACTACGAAGACCAAAGGCTTGGCAGATGATGCAACATCCCCCATGAAAGCAGGGTGTCACTAGCACTTAAGAGACCATACATAAGTGTCGGGGCCTGAACTGTTCAAACTGCCTTCCCAGCATAATAAGGGGATTAACAACGACCCCTGGATCTTAGCTGGCACGGAAAACCTGTTCGTAGGCCAGGTGCGTGGTCGTAAGTGTTGCGTGCAGCAGCAGTAACAGCCTGGTGAATCAGGCTCTGTACCAGGAGGCTGGTCGCGACCGGGGGGTGTGTACCCGTGATCGTTGGAAAAGGTAACTCAGATTGCTAGAAGCTAACCTTCTCTTAAACCCAAACTCAACAGAACGCATGTCAACGCATACCCTCACAGGCACAGATCACACTGTTTGAGTGTACCTCTCTGGTCCATCAATCGCACTATTCACAAAACTCAATGTCACGAAATCAAAGGCCCAAATCTGGAATTCTATTACCTGTGACCAAATAACACAGGAAACACTTTTATAATTCAAGTCTCTGCATTAAAAAAAACCCTAAAAACCCACCAAACTTAAGATCATACTTGTATTCAACTGTTTTAAAAAATTATAATGGAACCCCCACTACCAACCTATTACTCTTTTGTTCTATACAAATTCCCAAAACAGCAAATACTTTCAATCAAGAAACTCACAAATGACCATCCATAATCATGAAACACTAACTTGGAATACATGTTAGGGTTACTGTTTTGTCCACTACTAAATTCCATACTTAGAATCTTAAGTAATACAAGCCTGCCCATAATCGCTCCTACACAAGGGCTTTGGCATGTCATGCACCACGTATTTCTTTGTACATCATTTCATTCCCAAATTAAAATGAGAATAAAATAAAATAAATAAATAAATAATAAATAAATAAGAGGTCATGAAGCAAAGTGTAAATCCAAACCAAAGTTGAACCCAAGAGTCATTGTGATGGCTGGTTATCATTAACCCAAATAAAAAGGCATGATTCCATTCATTCTGTTTTAGGTACTATGTTATGGTTTTAACAGTCTAAGAGGAAAACAGTGTGACATGAGAGATGTAAAGAGAGAAAAGAAAATAGACACATTGTAGACTGTCAAGAGGGAGTTCTGAATAATCAGTTGATTCAAGAGAAGGAAGAGGCTGTGAGAATAACTCACTGCATCTGGGGAAAATAGAGGAAGAATGCAGACACATGTTTCTGTGACTGTTACAGATAGAGGGGTCAAAGCCTCAATCAGTCCATCAGAAAAGGTAAAATCATAAATAACATGTTTCCTAATAACCATCAATCAATTAATTGAGCTTCAGTAGATGGTATACTTGTGGGAAAAAAATTACCGTGAGATGAAATATTTTTCATCGTATAGTCATGGGAAAAAAATTACCATGAGATGAAATACTTTTAATTTCCTTCAACAAACACAAAGGCTCTTCCCTGAAGGGTATAGTCAAATACTGCGATATTTGGATGACCATGACTTAAAATCTTTGAAAGCAGTTTCCAGAAAAATCATGCTATGTTCAAAATGGTCTTTTTAATACATGTATCTGTTATAAGGAAAAAAGGCTATACAGTGGACCCCCGCATAATGATCACCTCCGAATGCGACCAATTATGTAAGTGTATTTATGTAAGTGCGTTTGTACGTGTATGTTTGGGGGTCTGAAATGGACTAATCTACTTCACAATATTCCTTATGGGAACAAATTCGGTCAGTACTGGCACCTGAACATACTTCTGGAGTGAAAAAATATCGTTAACCGGGGGTCCACTGTATTGTGGTTGTCATATACTATAGTTTTCACAGTGTCTTTTGATCAAGTATGTATCAAAGATAGGTAGACCTTAATATACATTATGATAGCTACAGTAGATGTAATAAAGTGCTTGTCACAAGTGTCAGTCTTGGAATTTGCTTCATTTTTGGCATGCATAAATTACTTTTATAATAGGTTATCCTGTAAAGTAACACAATTAGCCATTATGCAAAAGTAGGTAGTAGACTGCCAACACTATTTATATTACAGATTGTGAGCAAATTAGACATACATCTTAACTGACTTGATAAATGATAAGTGACTTTCAGTTAGGAAAAAAATAAAGGTAAGTTATTGTACAAATGCCACTGAACTAATGAATGAAAAACATTTTGACTGAGATAATCTAAAATTAACGGACTGTGTAATGTTGGTGTAAAAACACAATCAGCAAGTGAGTCCAAGAAAGACAACTCACCTAAATGTTATATTATATGACTTCTAGTCTATTAAACATCTGCCTATCCATGAAATACAGTGGACCCCCGCATAACGATGGCATCGCATAGCGATTTTTCCGCATAACGATTACTTTTATCGCAAAATTTTTGCCCCGCATACCGATTAAAAACCCGCATACCGATTTTCGTCCGAGACGCGTCCAATGTGCCCTCACATGTGCTGGCCGTCCCATTGTTTACCAGCCAGCCTCCGCGGTAACATCCAAGCATACACTCGGAATATTTCGTATTATTACAGTGTTTTCGGTGCTGTTTGTGGAAAATAAGTGACCATGGGCCCCAAGAAAGCTTCTAGTGCCAACCCTGTGGTAAAAAGGGTGGGAATTAGTATGGAAATTAAGAAAGATTTTGAAGGGTTTGGGGCTAACCCTGAGAAGCCTATGCCAGTTGTGGAATCCATTGTGCCTACTTCAAAGATTAAGGAAATGTGTGCAGAGTGGGTTGAACTGCAAACCTTTATAGATGAAAATCACCCTGACACAGCTGTTGCAAGCCGTGCTTGTGACTATTTCAATGACAATGTTATGGCCCATTTTAGGAAAGTCTTGAAGGAACGGGAGGTACAGAGCTCTATGGACAGATTTGTTGTGCGACAGAGGTCCAGTGACTCTCAAGCTGGTCCTAGTGGCATTAAAAGAAGAAGGGAAGTAACCCCAGAAAAGGACTTGCTACCTCAAGTCCTAATGGAAGGGGATTCCCCTTCTAAACAGTAAGAAGATAATGCTCTCCCCTCCTCCCATCCCATCAATCATCACCAGATCTTCAATAAAAGTAAGTGTCATGTAATTGTGCATGCCTTTTTCAGTTTGTGTGTATTAAAATTAACATTTCATGTGGTAAAAAAAAATTTTTTTCATACTTTTGGGCGTCTTGCACGGATTAATTTTATTTCCATTATTTCTTATGGGGAAAATTGATTCGCATAACGATTATTTCGCATAACGATGAGCCCTCTTGCACGGATTAAAATCGTTAACCGGGGGTCCACTGTACAGTGGTACCCCGAGTTCTGAACTGCTCCCAACTCGAACAATTATATAAGTTTATTATTGTAAGTGCTTTTGTATGTGTATTTTTGGGGGTTTGAAATGGACTAACCTAATTTACATTAATTCTAATGGGAACAAATTCATCCAGTATCGGTACTCGAACAGCCTTGTGGAATGAAATAAGTTTGAAACTCGGGGTATCACTGTATTACTGTTTGAATCATTAATTGTAATGTACTGTTTTTATTATGTGCAACTTCAAGATTATTATTTTTATAAACCTTCACCTTGACTACCTCACATTAGTATTAAGATTAAATCAAGCTTTATTAAAAAGTTAACTACTCTTATATTGTCTAGATTTAAGTAGTTATTATGTAATAGGATAAGTCTGCCCGAAATGCCCCAACATGATAGTGGCTTTCTTTGTACTTAACAAACCAAAATTGTAATTATACATTGTAACCTTTGTAAAGAAATAAAATCTTTATTCTTTATTCTTTAACTACACCCTTTTCATGGATGGTGCATGAGGCTGGTGGATAGCTCTTGATCTAAGGAATTGAAGCTACCCTTTCCTTGGGTCATACCTGATTACCTCTAGTCCTAATAATAATAATAATCTTTATGTTCTAGTGAAGAATAGTACATCACCATGTTTGAGAAAGGATATTTGCAAGCTTCCAGCCCTGAGCAACCAAGACAATCACAGAAGTCAAATGTGTGAAATTATCTGAAATAAGCCGAATTTATTGCTCTAGCAGGGTGAAGACTGAGAGGTGATTTAATACAATAATTTAAAATTATCGAGGAGCACTATAATCCTGAGTTTGAAAAATGCTGTAATACTGCACAGTGAACCAACATGCAACTTTATTTTTAATTATCAGCAAACGGTTTTACACTAACGAATTGAACTGTTTTAATGAAGTGGTAAAGATATGGAATAGATTACCAGAAGTGATGCAGTCATTCTGTATAATACATTGAAAAACAGGATGGATAAATAATTTTCTTCAAATCCATGACTTACATAGTTTGCTCCGCCTTAAAGCTTTCCATATACAAAGAGCCTCGTTTGTCCCCATAGGTCTGTTGTTGTTTGATTTCCTTTGTATACCTCTGTATACCTTTGTTGACGTACCTGCAGACACAGCTGCAGCATACGGCTCAATGCTGGTTGCAGCAGCTGCCTGGTAGCTTCCTGGGTACGTGGCTGCAGCAGTGGCATAGTCAAAGTATGCCTGCTGGCCTGCAGATGCCAGTGCAGCAGCATGGTTGATGGGAGAGTGTGTCATTGGCAGGAGACCAGCGGTAGTAGGCAGGTAGGACGGATGGTAGATGTAGTTGGGATGTAGTCTGAAAAAATAAAGTCATAGCTGCATTAATTGACCTCCAGAGAAAATTTGGCAAGTTAATGCCATGAATTTTGTATGTTCTAGTTAGGTGGTTATATGCTTGATATTAACTGTATTAGACCCCTCCCCTCTCGGCAAGTCAAACCCAATTTATAAAGTCCACAACACAACAATTTTTACCAGAACTGCTGATTTCTCAAACATAAGGGCTAATTTTAGGTCCCAGCTGATGTGTGTGTGATTGAGGTTATGGGTATCGGAGGAAACAATTTCCTCGCAACCTAGATTGTTTTAAATCCTGCCTTCCTTAGAGGTGCAACAGAAATTGGTAAGTAATATTTATCTTAGTTGCATCCTAGCCAAATTGCTTATATGAACATAATAATGAAGTTCATACAGGCAGTTTCTCTCTCACACACATATATGTACACACACACACACTTATATACGTATATGTAGTGCCGAAGAGGTAACCCTGGTCAATTAGCAAGAACTCATTTAAAATTATGTCCTTTCTAAAATTTTCTCTAACATGTTTAAAGGTATATTTTTTCATTTATATTAATGTCAGAGGATCTCACCTTCAAAGATCATAACATTGTATCAAGTGCATCTGCTAGAAATATGACAGGATAGATAACGAGAACCTTCAAAACTAGAGATGCCAAGCCCATGATGACACTCTTCACATCACTAGTTCTATCTAGGCTGGAATACTGCTGCACACTAACAGCACCTTTCAGGGCAGGTGAAACTGCTGACCTAGAAAGTGTACAGAGAACCTTCACAGTGCACATAACTGCGATAAAACACCTCAATTACTGGGAATACTTGAGGTTCCTCAACCTTTACTCCCTAGAATGCAGGAGGGAGAGATACATGATTATATACACTTGGAAAACCCTAGAGGGATTAGTACCAGACTTGCACACAAAATCGCTCCCCATGAAAGCAAAAGACTCAGTAGATGATGCAACATCCCCCCAATGAAAAGCAGGGGTGCCACTAGCAAGATAAGAGACAACACAATAAGTGTCAGGGGCCCAAGACTGTTCAACTGCCTCTCAGCATACGTAAGGGAGATTACCAATAGACCCCGGCTGTCTTTAAGAAAGCATGGACAGGCCCTAAAGTCCAGTATCCTGTCCAGCAGGGTTGTTGTGCACCAAAAGAAACACAGGTTGATGAAGCACGCCCACCACGAGACCTGGTCACAGACCTGGCCACGGGGTGTTGACCCCCGCAGCACCTCTCCAGTATACCTTCAGGTAATGTAGAAAATTATAATTTGTACCAAAAGAACCTTAGAAAACTTACCTTAAACCTTTTTAATTTATTTATTTATTTATTTCAATTGAGCACGCATAAAGAGGTACATAAAAAAATTACAGATAAGAGCAAGCATGCCAAAGCCACTTATACTATGCAATAGCATTACGGGCTGGCTTAAAATTAACTTAAGATTAACTAAGGCAATGAATGAAATCATGATAAACATTAATGTAAACCAGATTACTATAAAGCACAAGTGAGTAAATTCAAGACAGGTCATATGGTGCATGCATTGTTGTACATTAGTTCGTATGGAGAATTCTGTTAGGTAGTGTAATTTAAAAAATAGTAAGTTAGATTGGGTTTAGGTTTAACATTTATGATGAGATATAATGTGAGAAACATTTAAGATATAACAATTTGATAAAGGTTTCAGTTATTCAGTAATTTATTTTGGTTTTGGGTGGTAAGTGATCGTTGAGAAGAGACTTGAATTTATAAACAGGTAGTGTTTCTTTATATTTACAGGTAATGAATGCCAGATTTTAGGCCTTTATGTGCGTTTATTGAGTTTTGCATAGTGTGAGATGACACGAGAACATCAAAGAGTGACCTTTGTGCCCTGGTGTTATGGTCCATGTGGTTTTCTGTTGAGGTTTGGCGAAGAGAATGTTTGAGGAGGGTTTAATATAAGAGTTAAGTGTTCTATGTATGTAATAGGGGCAGTAAATAAATTATGGATGTTTTTGTATGGTGAGTAGGTTAGTGTATTGAATATTGGGGGAGTGTGCCTGCCTGTAGTGAGAATTTGTTTCATTCTAACCTGAAGCCTTTTGTTGGTATTAGTGGTCTAGATGGTTAATTGGTGTTGAGCCCCATGCACAAATTCCATAGTGAGATAGGGTAAATAGAGAGTGATATAGGGCCAGGAGGGCTGCCTGTGGAGCATAGTACCGTATCTTCCGATAGTATGCCAACAGACTTGGAAATTTTTTAGCAATATGTTGTATATGTGGTATAAATTGAGTCTATACAAGGTGGATTCCTAAGAAATTTCCCTCGGTTAGCTTTGTGATAGTGATCCGTTTATCATATGTTAATAGGGACATCTGTAGCTCTGTACCAAACTGAATGAAGTAGGTTTTGTCATGTTTAGTGTAAGTTTGTTTTAGTCCTCACCAAGTAGATATTTCTGTAATTCGGTATGTACAGTATTGGCTAGCGTGAACTGGGCTCGGTGGGAGAAAGACGAATGTAGTGTTCATCTGCAAATAGTGTGGGTTGGAGTAATTTGCGAAGCATTTGTAGGTCATTTATGTATAGAGAAGAGAAGAGGGCCAGGACACTTCCCGGGGGACACCAACTGTAATTGGTTGTAGCCAGAAGAGTTTTGCCCTATTTTGCGTACACATATTGGCTTCTGTTGCTGAGGTATGACTTGAGTAGTCGAGGGAGTGCCCTCTTATACCATATTTGACAATTTTTACGGGACAAGTCATGGTCAACTGTATCAAAAGCTATACGTAAGCAATGAAGATCCCCCGTGACTTCTTTTTTTCTCTATGCAGTGTATAATGTTTCTAGCATGTGTATAATAGCATCATTAGTATTTTTTATAAGCCTGAATCCAAATTGGCAGGGGTTATATGTTTTGGGAGATAAGGTAGGAGTAGAATTCGGTATGAATTAATTTTTCGAAGATTTTTGAGAGAGGGTGTAAGTTGGATATTGGCCTATAGTTATTCAACTCTGTTTGGTCTCCTCCTTTGTGGATCGGGGTGACCCTTGCTATTTTGATACTGTAGGAAGGTTATAACACGTGCCAATTTTTATTTAGCCAAATTCAACTAAATATATTAGATAAGTATCCAAAATTTAATAATCGAATGCAATGAAATATATCATTTTAGTTAGGTTCAGAATGATTTTTACAAAATTATTGCATACACAAATTTTCACTTGCCGTATTCGGCATGAAGAGCATTGCTATTTAAGCCAAAATCGCAAGTTTTACCTGTTTGGCACTACATATATATAAATGATTCTAGCATCATAGGATCTCTGATTAACAAAGATTCAGCAGAAATGAGAACAACATAAATAACATCTCAGAGCCTACATCTCAAACACTTCATCCAGCAGTGGGCCGCATGCCCAGAATGCTGCAGGCATTTCTCCTCTGGATCGCAACACTGAGTCTCTGATAAATGAAGCTGGCTGCTCTGTGGTCCTTGGTTTCTGTGATGAGCTTTTCACCCAGGTCTCTGAGGAACTTTAGAGCACACTTGCCCCCAAGCTCCATGGTCCCAACTCCCCAACGGTGGTTAAGTTATGCAAGAGGCAGTCTACATATCTGTGGATCTCCTGGATTTCCCTGTAACTGGCAGCTCCACTCCCTTCAACTTCAGAGTATGGCAAGTAGGTGTCCAACTCAGCAATGGCAGCACAGGTGTAGTCCAGGCAATCTTTTACTATCATCTCAGGGTAGCATATTGGCTCCATCTGGATGCTTTTTGACTTTTGTTGGACCTCCATACTTTGGTTCCATATTATATATTAAATATATATATATATATATATAATATATATATATAAATATATAATATATAGCTATAATACTATATATATATATATATATGGACCAAGCCCACTAATACTTTCCAATTACATATTATCATGAATATAAAAATGGTAGAAATACCGACAGGTTGTTATAAATTATCAATGGTACCCTTCATCCTCTGCTCCAATGAATACATGTTGCAAGTCTTGCATGTGTTCCCACTAGTATTAGGTCTTTACAGCTCAATGTGAGCCACAAACGATCTCTGTATTTGTTCCAGCTCAAATATTTCTCCTGCCTTGAACGGGACTGTATTGGGGCTATGGGACCCAACATGTATTTATGTATCTTTAAGTTACTCTGGGATACCTAATTAGATTGAATTATGAGGACTCAGCTCTAAATGTCATAAGGGCAGATCACTCTTATGGCTGTAAGGCAGCTGAGTCAAGCCTATTTTTCTCAATATAATAGGTTATAATATAAAACTCAACACACACTAGAAATAAGTAGTTTATAAAAGTGTAATTCTTTTGTAAAAGTAACATTAAGGTTGGCAGATTTTGCGGTAAATGGAGAATTGTGCATGCAACAGTCTTTTGTTTTTGGTGGGTGTGGGAGGAGCTTAGCTTAGGCCTCCTCCCTCTCCCTCTCCCTTCTTCCCTCTCCTCTCTCTTTCTCTCTCTCTCTCGCTCTCTCTAGGCATGAGCTTGCTACCACCGCAGCACATAGACTGCCACCCCCCACGAGCCCCTTTGGGGCGTGTAGATGGCATACCAGAGGCCTAGTTTCTCCCTACATACAACCCCTTGAGGGGCGGAGAATTGGCTAGGCCTAGGGACAGTTGGTCCCAAAGCTGAGGGGAACTTGTACCTCCTCCCATGGGGAGACTTATGATCTCGAGACTCTCCCCAGATAGGGGCCAAGGCCCGGGTCACCACTACTTGGAAAAAAGACCGCCGGGAGAGTACCCACGCGAATAAAAAAAAAAAATATCTCTTCTGTTGGTGACTTCAAGCTTGCAGGACTCTGGGCCCTGCTTCTTCTAATTCTTTTTGGCATAGTGGCTCCAGGGGGTGAGTTTTAAGAACATTATGTGGCCACACCATATACCAGTGAAACTAAAGTGTGTCAAAAACACTGGTTAAGCCGAGATTAGTCCATGAAGAAGAATTCAATTTCAATTCAATTCAAAGTTTATTCTCTATATGGATTACAATGCTGAGTTTACAAGAATACTGGTTATTGTGTGTTTACATGAAGTAAAAAATAAAAATTACAGAGGGTAAAACTCACTAGAACACCAAAGCATGCTAGCAGTTCGGGCATGAAACTTAAATTAAATCTAAAGTTTAAAATAGTAACAAAATTTATGTGGTAAAAGTTGGTATTATGGCTAAGTGACTAAAATACTATTTGTGAGTTTAGCAAATGTAACTTTTGTTTGGCACTAATACATGGTTCAGTTAAAATGGGAAGTATAAAAAAAATCAAAGGCCAACCTTATGACGATTTTAACCTTTCAGGGTCCGTCCCGTAGATCAACGGCTTATGTTGAGTGACTAAACCGAGATCAAACGCCCAAAATTCTAGGCGCCGTCAATTTAGAGCCGAAATGCTCATAGCCTACATGAGAGGAGAAACGGTCTGCGTGGTGGGTGGCGCCCATAACAAAAAAACTAGGCGCCCGCATAGCATTGTGGGAACGCAGCTCATACCCTGTGTTCACCATGCCCTCGTCGCAAGTCCGCTCTCACTTCTCCCCCCGAAAATTGGGACTCTCATCTCCTATCTGATAGTTCTGACACTGAGGGAAGTGGAAATTAAGAACGAATTCTACGGCTTTGATCAGTTAGTGACCAAAAGAATGACCAGGATATCGCTAATAGTGTCAGAAAACACTGATGATCCTGCAACCTTCTACCTCTGGTGTGGGCACCTTCGTGACTCATGGTCGGTTGTTCCGCATCGCAAGAGAAAACTAATAATTTCGCGTGGCCAGGCCTCTGACTTCAGTAATGATGATAGATAGTTGACTGGAACTGTGATATTATTGCGCTCGACGATCAAATCGAGTAGTGATAGTGAGGCTCATATTCACCACAGTGAAGCTCGGTCTGTCGCCGCACGCATGCGCTCGGGTAGTGTACCCTATGCTGTGCCCAGGGGATGGAGACATCCCGGAGTACCATTCCAGTTTTTAGGTATGATAGAGAGGATGATTGCGACACAATGGCATGGATAGACCCACAAGCAACATGGATGGTGTTAGTGTGATTGGTAGTGCACCGCCACCTGACTCACCAGCCACGCTGGGACGCCACGCCGCTGACTCGTCGATCAAGGACAAAGAAGCGCCCAGCCACCATCCCCACCACAACCCAACCACCCGCACAACCACCTATTATGTCCAGTATCCACCAGCAAACTAACCTATGTGGGTTGGCAGCAAAATCCAATTTTTGTCCAAGCCTCCCACCTTTGATGATTCTCAAAGTGGAATCTACCTACGTGTCCCTTGGATACCACGGCCAATGAACTGGAATTCTTTGAATTATTCTTTGACCACCATTGATTGGAAATTATTGTCAGGGAAAGTAATAAGTATTTTCCAGTACACCATGGCTAATACGATCTTATCACCACATCAAGACTACACAGTGGAACGAGACACTGCTGCAAAAAGTTATTTGCTTTTTTGCAACAATAATGCTTATGCCTCACGCCTATAACAGAATATAAAAAGCCATACTGGTCACAATTGCTAATTTCTTACCCGGTCCTTCAGTGAAATCATACCAGGAACAGGTTTAATCCTTCTCTTACGTATGTTGCACTTCTCTGACAAAACCAGGCCTGACAGAAGGACAGTTATACAAGATTAGAAATGTTTTCATGTACTCAAACAAACAAAAGTTCAGCAATTTACATTTTATCCATTCAGAATCTTGAATTGACGATTTTTGATTTTGCTCAAGGTAAGACTGTCATTCAGCAGTATATACCGAGCAAGAGGAAACGCTTTGTATAAAACTGGTTGTAAATCAGTGATTGTGACAGTGGCCTGGGTGATAGTGTGATAACACGGGTAGTAAAACATTGAAAGATCACCAAGATTAATTGAATCTCAGTGACGTAGTGAGAAACATGATGGCACCTTTTCTTGGTAAGGGCCATTACATTATATACCGATAACTGGTACACAAGCCCATTACTCAGTGATTACAATGCTAGTGAACAAGACAGATGTGTGTGGCACAGTGCTTCTAATTGTAAACATATGCCCAGGCTCAACGCAGGGCTCGGGTGATGACGTGCAGGTGTTTTACTTGCCAATGCATCATGCATTACGGTGGCATGACAAACGAGATTTCCACATTGTTGACTAACCATTCACCGTAAGAATGCAGACAGGTGGCAAAGTTGATCGAGTGACTAATGAACGTATTCGAAAACCAGTGACAGTGATTGATTATACACAAAACATGCCGCTTGGTTGACAAATTGGACATGCAGATTGGTTTTGTTGACTGTGTTCGTAAGAGTTACAAGTGGTACATGAAACTTTTTCTTCCATCTCATGGACATTTCAATTGCTCTATGCATATAATAATGTAACAAACTAAAGACAGGCAACAGACCACCGTATGGTGAATTTTGTTTTGTCTGTTGTCAGACAACTCAAATGAAGTACCAATATACCCAAGCGTTTGAGGGAGGAAGGTGATCATTTCATAATACACTTCCTTTCAACTCAGAAGCAATTTGCTCAGAAGAATGCCTCGCCTGTGCACAAACAAAAAGAACGGCAACAAAGACGCCAAGACACTCGTTTATGTGTGAGGAATGTAAGGTGCCTCTGCATGTGCCTTGTTTCAAGGAGTTCCAGAAAGCTCCAGCAGTTCTAAAACCAGTCCAGTGATTGTAATATGTAAATATATGATAGAACTTAGTATTATACAAGATTTGTGCATGTATTATTGTAATAAACAACAGTGGTAAATCAATAATATGATAATAACGTTAGTGCGTTTATTGTGTCAATAACCAGTGAGTTTTAATATATATACATTATAATACAGTATTGGTCCTCAGGCCCCAAATGTTAGTAGGAATAGAAAAAAAAGGAAAAGAAAAGAAAAAACACAAAACCACAAAATACAGTGATGTAAGTATGTGGAATTCGTCGATGTTGCCCGTCCACCACATCATTTTTCGACAAACGTCCTAGGCACTGTATCTCTACGTACTGACAGAATTTGTTTTTTGTCTATTACCTTCAACAAAAATATGCTCTTTAATTCTGTAAGAAAAAAATAATTTTTTTTTTTTTTCAAAATTTCTTGGACACCGGAGCACCACATCAGATTTTGGCCTTGGACCCTGAAGGGGTTAAGATTCATTATTTTGAGATTGAGAATGAATATTTCTTTTATGGTCAAATGGGTAGAGTTGCGTGTAAGTTGTTAACCACCAGGTGTATTCGTGTAATTAGTATGACAGGTTGAACAGGGAGATAAGAGTTTTCCGAAGGTAGTTTGAAGGTATGAAAGTGTCAGCCAGTTTTAGAATTTTCAGGTAGGGTGTCCAGATTTTAGGGCCCTTATGACATACATTGAATTTGTGTAAAGGTTTAGTCAGACACGGGGAATGTCATAGCGATGTTTTGTGTCTGGTGGTTGTGCCTGTGGGTTCTGTCGCAATAACAAGAAAGCATTTTAGGTCAGGTTAATATTGGAATTTAAGGTCCAGTAATGTAACTGCCCAGTAGTAAGTTTGGATGTCCTGAACAAGAGTAAAGTTTGATCAAGGAAAGGGGGGGGGTGTGGCCCAGGATGGTTTAGTGATTATTCTTACCGCGGTTTTTTTGTGGGTTATTATTGGCTTTAGTGTGTTGGCTGCAGTTGAACCCAAGCACAGATAGCCATAGTTGAGGTAATGGATATATCAGTAATGTATAGTGTGAGAAGGG